GCTCTTTTTGTGCGGGGTGTGTTTCCATACTGTGCGGGCCCATGCCAAGAAACACCTTGTTTGCCTCTAGGGTGCCCTCTGTGTCTTGGTTTTCGAGGGTTTTGCGATGGAAATCGTGACGCTCCCACACCAAAAGTCAATGGACCTCCAGGGGTCTCAGGGTTGGGTTTCTCGTGGAAGGTGTCTTGTGGTCGGGCCCCCTTCTGTAAGACATGGCCCGTGGGAGGAGGAGCGAGGGAGGTGGGCAGGAGCCGAGGGAACGCAACCATGGCTTGGTCGGCCGCGCGCAGAGGGGGGGGTAGGGGGAGAGGGGAAGGCTTCTCAGAAGCACCCTGGCTGCTCAGCCGGCGCGGGCCTGGTCTATAGATGTAGATCTAGGCTTCCCAGACGGGGTCCGAGTAGATGGGGTCGCAGGGTCGCGTCACATCGCCGATGCATCACCGATGCGGCTCGACGCAAGGCCCGATTTGCTTGACGTCGACGTCGCCGATGCGTCGCCGACATCGCCGATGCATGGCCGATCCATCGCCGGTACATCGTCGATTTATCGGCGATGCGGCGCGATCCTCCGACCCCATCTACTCGGACACCATCTAGGAAGCCTCCAGTCGGGCCGACGCTTTCTCAGAAGCAGCTTCTTTCTAAGAACCCTGTTCCCCCTCCCTCTACCCCCTTGTGCGCGCCGCCACAATAAGCCAGTCTGGATTAGCGAAGGGTCCCGTTTCCGTATAGAATCGGTACGCCCCGTTGGTAAGTCAGGTTGCATTGGCGTCATGTTTCGGAGGGTGTTTTCGCCGATCCGTGGATCCGGCGGCCAAGCGCCAGAGCCCCAGATCTCTCATCCATGTTAGCGTGTTGCCGAAGGGAGGAGGGCAGGGAGGCATGGAGAGGAAGGTTTTGGAGGGGGGCGGCGGCGGATGGGGAGGAGAAAGGAGTAGAGTGGACTGGGGTACCGTACGGACGTCCACCCCAGCGTTACGACACCCGTCCCGAACAGAAAGGTACAGTTACGAGCGAAATTGGGATGTGCTCACGACACGAGGTGCGACGCTACAGGAGGAGGAGGGCAGGGAGGAGGATACATTAAAACCTTACTGGTGCGATCATACGACAAAGGGCGAAAACGACACGGAACAGAGGTGTGGCATGCGCTTTGCGACATACGCAGCACTAGCTGGGCATCGCCGAGAGACCCACAACATCCGACCAGTGGTGGCGTCCGTAATCGTCAACAACCAGTGTCCCTGGTGCAAGAGCACATTTATTAATCGTAAGGTATGTGTCGACCACGCGGTCAGGGCTGTACACGGTCACGGTATCTGCCACCAAGACAGGTCGATGTGGTCCCACCCCATTTCCGACCCCAGCTCCCTTACCTGCCAGATCTGTAATCACGAGGCTCAAACTCTTGAGGAGTACCACGCACACATACGCGAGCACATAGCAGGGCCAGAGTCGATCAGAGCAGCACGGGGAGAAGGAGCACATGTCGCACGGGGGCCACGGCGATTGGCGCATCAGAGCCAGCACGAAGAGAGGAGGGGGCGCAGCCGAAGGGCAGCGACCAGCACAACGCCCACATCTCGGCGGAGGCGGAGTCGGCTCGTCAGACACGCAGCAGTCGCAGCAGACGCCGCAGCAGCCGCCCCCCACACAGCGCCGAGGAGGAGGCGGTCGAGGACCCCCAGGAGGCGGCCGTGGTGGTGGAGGAGGCGGCCAGGTGGAGCTTCGGGACCAGCTGAGATCGCTCCAGAGGCTCACCCTCCAGAACTCGAACGAGATTCGCAATTTTCTGCATCTCACGGGAGAGTTCTGGCTGACGCCGCTCGAGCCAGAATGGGTGCAGGCGCCGATGGAGACAGGCAGAGAGTACGGGCGGAAGGTAAAGCAGCTGGGCAAGGGGCACGGCCTCGGCCCACCGCATGGCCAGGTGGCGGCGAGCCTGGTCGAGGAGATCGTGGCGGTGCTCGACTCGGAGGAGCAGAAGCTCGACGCGTCCCTCCTCCACGTGAGACAGCTCCTGAAAGAGTTCATGAGCCAGCTCGACGAACCCTGGGGACCAATCTTCATCACGGAGGTCTTCTTGCAGTGCAAGATCCAGGAGGCGTACAACAAGACGGGCGAGGACGTGGAGATGGACATCAAGCAGTGCAAGGCCAAACTCATCTACACGATCAACACGGCGCCGAGCTTCAGGGCGGTGCTGTGCGACCAGAAGCTCGAGCAGGAGCAGTACGACAAGATCGCGGGCTTCAAGGGGGACATATTCAAGCAGGCCCTGGGCCACGCGCTGGCGCACCTCGGGGCCACGAAGAGCCGTTCAGGGGGCCCGAAGACGGGCCTGGAGAGGGCAGTGGAGGCGCAGCTCAACAGGAGGTGGGCCAAGGCACGCCCCAGCCAATGCCCAGCAGCTCGCCCCGCCGCGAGCGAGAGAGCCCCGCGGGCCAGCTCCCGCCAGGCCCGCAGCCCAGCGGAGCCAGCAGCTCGGTGTCGAGCAGCG